AAGACCTCCCCGAAAATAAGAAGACCTCCCCGAAAATAAGGCCAAGCGCTTATTTCAGGGCTCAAATGGGGAAACACGGTACCATTTTTGACAAATGGTTGTCAAGTCCCTTAAAAGCCTCCAGTGTCGGAGAACCCAGAAATTATTTTTTTCTCAATCAAATTTCTATTTTTTATATTCTTTTTACATATCAATGCATGAATGATTTGGTATCTGGGTATCATGCATTTCAGTATACCTATAAACATAATCTTATTACTTCTAAATATTACATTTCATTTCCATTATTTCATATTGTTTATACATGCCTTTTACTATCACCCTTAATTTCTAAACCTTCTTTCTGTCCTTTTGTATATCTTAACATATTAATATATAATTACTATTATTCCCCTCTATTTTCTATCCCTATTTCAATTCGTTTTTCCCCTTCCTATTGCTATAATATTCTAAGACATGTTTTTTTTACCTATTTTGTTATTCATGTTTCCTTAATTAAATCAAAATTTCATCCTTCATTCTTCCATTATTCAATATCTCTGTATTCAGTTTTAGTACCAATTACAATCATTTATACATTTAAAGTACTTCTATTAATGTTCTTTCCAGTTCTTCAATCCATATAATTCTACTATTAATATACATGTTTAGATTAATATATATAAATATATTTACCTAATCACCCACTGTTTAATTCTAACATTTCACTGCTATTCATATTTTTATACATATTTAGTACTACAGTCATTCAAAATCTAATTTTCCAATTCTTCATATCTATTTATATTAAGATATTATCCTGATATCTATCACACTGCTAAAATAATTTAGAGCAGTGGTCTCCAACGTTGGCAACTTTAAGGCTTGTGGACTTCAACTCCCAGAGTTCCTCAGCCAGAATTGTTGAGGAATTCTGGGAGTTGAAGTCCAGAAGTCTTAAAGTTGCCAAGGTTGGTGACCCCTGATTTAGAGAACCCAGAACTCCCGAAGGCAAGTTCTTCCATTGGTTGATTGTTCTTATTGTCAGGAAATTTCTCCTTAGTTCTAGGTTGCCTCTCTTTTTGTTCAGTTTCCATGCATTGTTTCTTCTCTCGCCTTCTGGTGCTTTGGAAAATAGGTTGACCCCTTCTTCTATGTGGCATCCCCTCAAATATTGGAACACTGAATATTATGAATGTATTACTGCAAGGAAATGATTGAATGAAGAAGTTATTGGAGGATTTATTTTGAACGGTTCAGGGGGCGCTTTGATGTGTCTTCTTGTTGAAGCTCATCATGAGTATCACTATCTTAATCCATATCCCATCTTTATATTTTAGGGTGAAAAAGGAGATATTATTACCTCTCCCCTCCCTGGACAGAAAGGTGATCCGGGATTTCCAGGTCCACCCGGAATTCCAGTAAGTTGGCCAAAACATCTGATGTGCTTCAGTGGAATTTTTCTTGTAAGGAATCTCGGCGGTATGCAGAATATTTTAACGATAGTGAAATATTAACAGGTGGTGCTGCTTGATTAGGAAGTCAAAACTCAGAAAAATTCTCAGATCAAAGGTTTTTTGATGCAGTCATGGCTGCTGATATAAAATAGTTTGAAGGAGCTACGAGGAGGCTCCTGCTGTGGGCTGAAGAAAAACTTGAAAAAGTTTTCAAGAAGAAATCTACAAGTGCTAGCTTAGTTTTGGTACTCTCCATGGGGTTTTCATGGCAAAGATACTGTAGTGGTGGGTTGGCATTTCCTTCTCTGGTGGATTACGTTTTGTCAGATTTGAAGATGAAACTCAAATACTTTGGCCACCTAATGAGAAGGAAGGATTCACTGGAGAAGAGCCTAAAGCTGGGAAAGATTGAGGCAAACCTCTTACCCCCACACGATTTGTTTCCAGAGAGTAAGTCATATGTCTACCAAGTTTTGTTGAAATTGCTCAAGACATTCCAGAGTTATGCTGGAACACAGACAGACAGACAGACAGACAGATCAATGGATAGATCAATAGATAGATAGATAGATAGATAGATAGATAGATAGATAGATAGATAGATAGATAGATAGATAGATAGATAGATAGATAGATAGATAGA